AATTGAAAATCAGCTAGCCAAAACATCGGCCCACACAAGCTCATGTTTGGCATCTTTCTGCCATATGGTAACTTCCCTGCAGGAAGCGAGAGAGGCTGCTCGGGTATCCTCTGCTGCAGCCCAGACTTAATACGAATGGGTTTGGGCAAAGACTGCGACATGTACACAGTAGAATATAGACGATTTGGCATGGCTGCACTGTTCACAAGTGCCGGTCAGCATGTCTTCAAAGTTGCATAGTACATGTGTAGTGACACAGCGCTGACTGCTGTACAGCAGCTGCAACTGCAGGTAGACACTTAGCGCACACACTTGAGCGTAAGCACGGGTGTGCCGGCAGGGCGGAGGAACTGGGGCAAGGGTTATGGTAGACCTCGTGGGGAGGCCCCTGGAACCGTCTGGTGGGTTCGAGAAGGGAGGCGCGGCTAGGGCGGAGCCAAGCCGTGCCGAGAGGAACATAAGCAGCGGAGAGCGAGAGTTCCGGGCTGCTGGTTCTGGGAGTAGACTCGTTTCGTCGTCGCTGTCGTCATCGCCGCCTTCGTCGCTGCCTCCTTCGCCCGATCATTGCGCAGCCGGACGTAGTTGGCTGTCCCGGTCGGCGACGTCAGTGCATTGCGGACAGGGTCGTGTCTGGGCCGGGACGTATGTCAGTGTGGTCGTGAGAGAGAGAGGAGGCAGAGTTGGTGGTGTGGATGCGAGAGATAATAAAGGGAAGGACGGTTCTTTTACAGTACGGGCTATCAATGGAAGATGTGCTTTTCCTTTGTTTTGTAGTTACCCTCCACCGTTAATTCTGCTGTTTTTTTTTCTATTTTCGCTCATGCCGGGGACATTAGGAGGGGGGTATGTTTGATGGTGCATTATGCTTCAGGGTAGTTATTAGGGAAGCATGGATTGGTAAAGCCGAGGATGGTTTGGTATGACAGTAAGGAGATGTGACATTAAGGTCACATGGGGGCATGCTAAGGTTAGTTGGGGGAATATGGGACAACACCCAAGCGGATGGAAGGGTCACACGGGGATGCGGGGCCACATCAAAGATACATTTAAAAGATGGTGGTAACGAAGGCGTGGAAAGGGAGATGGGATTGGAGGAAACCCAAATGATACATTTTTGGCAGGAAACAAGGAGGAGCAGCTGAGAAGGTCGGAGTGAGATGATAAAGTATGTATGTTTGACAGTTCGAGGCTCCGGGAGAAGAAAGTGGCTGAAGAAAGAGCTTTGAGTGTGTTACTGGGTGTTCTGTGACTGGAACAATAAAATTCCCTTTCCAGGACGACTTCTGTGGACTCCCTTTAATATATTATACACTGGTCTATATTCATATATTCACAATTAATGAAGAACTTTAATATAACAAAGCCAGTTTTAAAGCAAGATACCTTTTCCTTCACGTGTATGTTTGCAAAAATATGTTTAATGCTCTCCTCCATCAACATATCCACGTTGGTGACCAAGAGGAATGCAGTCAAACCTGAAAAAGAAGAAATAGTGAATAACAACTCTGATTCAGACCACAGTATACAGTATTTTGGTTGCGGTTATGGTAGTCTTGAGGATAAGGGTGGGGTTGGGTGTGATGGTGGGGTGAGGGATGTGGGTGGGGTTGAGTTTGGGGATGGGGATAAGGGGTAATTGTGGGTGATAGTGGGGTTGGGAATGAGGGTGGGGTTAGAGAATAGGGTGGGATGAGGTGGAATTGGTAATGGCTGTAGGATTAGGGATGAGGGTGCGTGTTAGCCACACCACTTATCTTGCACTGTGCAACCCTTAATGTGCTCACGAACAGCATTTCTTTCAAGAGTTTATGAAATTTGACTCTACATACATGTGTGTAATGGTTCGACAGAGGCGCACACACTCGTGTGGAGGCAGCACTTTATTTAACACAACTGCAACACACACACTAAACATAAAGTGGTGACCACCGTCCTAGTCTCACTAACACTCGGGTACTACTTGGCGTGGCCAAGCCAGGAGGGCTTCTGCTTGGCCACGACGATTTGCAGCTTCTTGTCTTCAGTCTTCATAAGGCGTCTTCATCCCGGACACGAACAGCCTAGCTCTTCGTGCAGAGCCCTCTTATATGTGCCTCGGCGTGGCCGGCCACACCCAGGCCACGCCCACCTACTCGAACCCTCGAGAAGGCTCAGTTCCCCGACCACGTGACCCCCAAGGTCCCCCCTGGGGCCCCTGCCCCACCTTGATCCGGTCACGTGTCCCGTCGGGTTCACTCCACCGCCTGACACGACCCCCGTGGCACTCGTCAACAGCCTCCACACTGCCCGACCCGGCAACGTCATCCGTACCGACCCGACCTAGCAGTGACGTCATGCGTACAGACCCGACATAGCAATCACGTCATGTGTATACAGACCCGACACGGTAATGACGTCATATGTCTCCACACGTGTATAATAACATCAGTGTGAAAAGAAGAAAGCTTTGATCAATAGACAATTTTAAGGTTTTGTACTATTCTATCATGCCCATCTGTGTTATCTATGTCATCGTAGGTACATTGGTAAGTTGGTTTTGTTTGTGAAGTTCAGTTTTGCATTGAACTCCAACCAGATCTTATTCAATTTTTTATTAAAGAATTTTCTTCTCACCCCCCCCTCCCTCAATAACTGCTGTAAGTATACATACTCTGGTGTGGTTTCCATTTGAATCCTTATGACAAATATTGTTTAATATACGTGTATCGGGTTCCGGAGACACTTGTAGATGTAACTTCTTTATTACGATTCAACACTCCAACTCCCCAACAGTCCAACACTCCAACTCTCCAACAGTCCTGATACTCTGTTACAGCCTAGGTACACAGCCTAGGTACACAGCCTAGATACACTACTCTGGCTACGCTCTGGAACTCGCCCTCACAAGGTCGTAGAGTCGGGAGTTCCAGAGTCCCACCACTGGCTCTCACAGCGTCCCAGGGTCCGCCGATGGCTGGTCTTGGGTCTTGGGTCTTGAGCTACGACTGGCCCTGATCGTCCAGGGAGCTCCGCTTTTATGCCCAGTCCCCAACGAGGGGTGGGGCCGTGTGCGCCCCCAGATATCCAACAGAGCACACACAGCCCCCCCCCTTTGGCGGCGCCAAGGGGATTAAGCGCCTGGGAACTTAACGCCTGACGCCAAGAGGCTTAAGCGTCTGACCCGCCTGGGAACTCACGCCTGGTGCCAAGAGGCTTAAGCGTCTGGACCCGCCTGGGGTCCCAGAGCCCCCAGCAGCCCCTCCCTTCTTATGTCACTACATTACCCCCCTCTACGTAGCCTCCAGCCGACCCGGCTGTCCAAAAAAAATACAATTGTCCAATAAATTATTTGTTAACCATCCGAATGAGTGTGTGACAAATCAAGAATTTTTTTTAGAAGAAAGTGCCTCTCCCCCTCCTGTGGTCACGCGTATATATAAAAAAACTCCAGGCCACCGATGCAGAACAACACTGTATAAACACATATATGCAGGATGAACGCACGCCCCAATCGCCTATTATACATGATGGCAAGGTGAGTGGCGTCGTGTTGGGACGAGAGTTCGTGGGCGGGGGTCATGAAAATCGTTTGAGTTTTGAGCGAGTCCGAGTGGCAGGTCCATCGGTCGCGACGGAGGCGAGAGGGGACCGACGACCCGCTGTTGCGCTTGTGTCTTGGGTCGCTATCCCGCGGACCCAAGACCAGCCAGCTGGGTCGGCCGTGGCGGGTTTCATTCCCAAGGCACCTGAGGGCGGGACAGCGGGACCTGCCCGAGAGTTAGAAGCAGCATCATCGCGGCGCGGCTCGTCAGACATGTCGCGCTCTCGGCCCCGGAGAAGTGAAGGAGGTGTGTAGGGTTGAATGTAAGGTTTTAGACGTGACGGGTGTACGAACCAACGTCGCTTGCCATGCTGGATCCTGACACACTGCGGGCGGAGAACGCGAATAATAACAACCGGGCCTCTCCAAGGCTTAAGCAGTTTTGAGGAAGTAGCCAATGGTACCTGCGGGCAGTGGAGCCAGGCGCGGTCCCCTTCTACCCAAACGTGGCGGGATGTGCGGAGATTCTGCAACCGCTCGTTGGCAAGCTGACGGGCTTCTGAGTTATTTTGAGCAGCCTCCCGGGCATCCACGAGACGACGCACATTAGCACGGATGTGGTCGGCAATCTTAGCCTTAGGTGCGGGCTGTTTAATGTGCAATTGTACGTCGATTGGGGGGCAAACCTCCCTACCATACATAAGATAGAATGGCGAGTACCCCGTGGCAGCATGGGGCGCCATTCTATAGGCGGCCAAGACACCAGGTATGTGGAGATCCCAATCAGTCTGTGACTCAGACACCTGGTGGCTTAGCATGGAGGTAAGTGTCCTATGTAATCGCTCGACCATACCGTCAGTCTGGGGGTGATATGGCGAGGTGCGAATTTTGTGTGTCCCTAGCAGGTTGCACACATCCCGCAACAGGGTGGAAAAGAAATTTTTCCCTTGGTCGGTCAGCAGGCGTTCGGGAGCACCCTTATCCAGGACGTAGCCCTGGAAAAAGGCCTCCGTAATGGCTGCTGCAGACTGGTTGGGGAGTGGCCAGGCCATGGCCCATCGGGTAAAATATTCGACCCCAACCAAAAGGTACTTACTACCCCGAGGAGTAGCGGGAAACGGACCCAAAATATCCAATGCGACGATCTCATTGACCCGGGAAACCTTAATGGATTGGAGCGGCGGGCAGGACGGCCTAGCAGGTGATTTCCGCCGTGCACATTCTGTGCAACCTTGCACAAGGTCAGCCACATCATTTGCCATGCCCGGCCAGAAAAATTCCAATTGGATTTTAGCTAGTGTTTTCTGAACACCCAAGTGCAAGAGGCGACTGTGGGTTTCCCACACAAGTCGCCCCCGCAGGGAGGTGGGTACCACCAACGTGTGGGATTGGGACCCCCCATCCCAATGCATGAGGACGCCTTCCCGGATGACATATGATACGGGGCCCCCCTGCCCCCTGTGACCCTCGGCATCCCTAGCACGGCGTCTCAATTTGAGGAGGGAGACGTCTTCCATCTGAAGACGTCCCCAGTCGTCCAACCCGAGGCCCAGCAATGCGTCCTGCGGAACTTGTGTGGAGGGAGCCCCGTGGTCCCCGACCCCATCCCCTAACGCGGCCGCAAGGGATGGGGGCGGTACCCCGTCAGGCTGCCTACAACGCCCCGCACCCAAAAAACAAGCACAGCGCCCATTGTTCGGCAGTCGCGACAACCCGTCAGCATTCCCGTGTTGAATCCCGTTGCGGTAAATGACAGTGAACGCAAAGTCCTGGAGGATCTCGAGCTAACGCGAGAGCTGTCCAGATGGTTGGTCCACTCGCAAGGCGTATTGTAGCGCCGCGTGGTCGGAGCATACTGTGAAATGCCTGCCATACACGTATGGTCTGTACTGCTTTATGAAAAAAACGATAGCAAGCAATTCGCGGCGCGTCACACAGTAACGTTGCTCCGCGGGCGACAGCACCCTACTGCCATAGGCGACGACGCGCTCCACTCCATTGACAATTTGCGACAGCACCCCTCCAATTCCGGTGTTGTTGGCGTCTGTATCCAGAATGAACGGAGTGGTAAAATCTGGATAAGACAGGGTAGGAGCATCGACCAGTGCTTTTCGGACGGCATTGAACGATGCCTGTTCTAACTCTCCCCAATGGAATTTTACCCCTTTGGCCGTTAATGCGTGGAGGGGCTTCGCGATGGATGCGAATCCCGCAACAAATCGTCGATAATATGAGGCGAAGCCGATAAAACTCCGCACCTCCCCAACAGAGGTAGGAGTTGGCCATGAGCGCACGCAATTTGTCTTTTCGGGGTACGTGGCAATTCCCGAGTGGCTGACAATATGGCCCAAGTAACGAACCGAATCCCTCATGAGGTGACACTTTTGCGGTTTGAATTTGAGGTTAGCCGCTCGCATTTTAAGGAAAACTGCCTTCAATCGTGTGAGGTGTTCATCAAAAGTTTTGCTGAACACGATTACATCGTCGAGGTAGATTAGGCAAGAACCCCACTGGAGCCCAGCGAGGACCAGCTCCATCAGGCGCTGGAACGTCGCCGGGGCCGAGTGAAGCCCCATGGGAAGTCTGTTGAATTGGAACAATCCCTGCGGCGTGCGAAAGGCCGTCTTTGGTTTGGATGCGTCATCAAGGGGTAGCTGCCAAAACCCCGAGAGGAGATCCAAGGTGGAGAAGTAGTGTGCACTGCTAAGGCATCGATCGACTCGTCCATCCTGGGAAGCGGGTAGGCGTCGGCCACAGAAATCTTATTAAGTTTCCTGAAGTCAACACAAAAGCAGAGGCTCCCGTCGTGCTTCTTAACAAGAACGATCGGCGCCCCCCATGGGCTATTTGATGGCGCAATGACATCGGCCGCCAACATATCGTTGACGGCCACCCGTACATGTTCCTTTTCGGCTGGGCTCAACCGGAACGGGTTTTGACGAATTGGAGCGGCATCACCCGTGTCGATGTGGTGGCTTAGCAATTTAGTGCAGCCAATGTCAAATTTGCTTTGACTAAAAACGTCGGTTAAATCGCTCAGCAGCGTGCGTAATTTAGCATGCTGTAATGGTGACAAATCGGCAGAAGTGGAGCAAAGCGCGTCGAGCCATCCTGTGTCAGGACCTGGCTTGGCAATGGAAGAGGACTCGCCCCCTACGTGACCCACGATCACATCTTCTGACGGGGCTGGCGTCGCGTGAGCAAGCACCATTCCCTGACAAATAACAGCCGTTTCTCATCCCGCGTTAAGGACCTGGATAAAGGGGTCGTGGTCGCTTCGCACGAGCGTTTGTGCACACACGAGGTCCGACACCCGCTCAGCTGAACGTGAAGGCCCGATCACAGCACCCCCCATGAACGCGTCGTAGTCAAGGGGTTTACGAAACCGGAGGGGAACTAACATCTGAGATTCATAATCAACGTTTTTGGGTTTAGATCGCGTTATTTATAAATGTGTCGTAACCCTCCACCACCCGACACGGCCAATCAGTAAAAATGTGTCACGTTGACAAAGACAAATAGTTCACTGCTTTAGCCCACCGGTGTGTTGAAGCCACAACATTTACAATTTGAGTACGACGTTTCGCTGGTAATTGCATCCAGCATCATCGGCCAATTCGCCAGAATGGTGAGGCTCTGCTGTGTCTCCCGTTCTTATATAGAGCAGCAGCAGGGTGACGTCATCATTAACTCATTAACTCATCAGGTGCAAAGATTCAAGGGGGGAGTGATTGTAATTATATACTAGATTAGTAATCAGGCTATTGTTACGATGCGAGTTGTAGATTAGTAATCATTTGGAATGTGTTTTATTGTGATTATGCTACATTAGTAATCAGTTAGTGGTTGTTTCCCTTACAAGGAATTGTAATGTATCTTATTTAATAATACGCTTCCAGGCCGCACTAAGCCTGTAGCTGTCTGAGCGATTAAAGTTATTTCTGTTTCTCTCAATTTCAATCGATTCTCTAATTAGTCTTTGCCAGTAGTAACTAGTTTTACACAACACTTCCACGTTGTCAAAATCAATTGAGTGTCCCTGTTGGCATGCATGTTCTGCTACTGCCGACAGTTGTGTTTGTGATAGTTTAATATTTCTCTGGTGTACTTTTAGTCTTACACTAACGTTACGCCCTGTCTGTCCAATATAGCATCTGCCACATACACAATTAATCCGATATACACCTTCTGTTGATAATTTAGGTAATTCGTCTTTAGTGCACGTTACTAGTTGTTGAATTTTGTGTACTGTACCAAATCTTACTGTAATGTTTTGCTTTTGCAAAACACGGGCTAATTTATCAGTTACTCCTGTGATAAATGGTATTTTTATTGTTTTAATAATCTGATCGCTTTCAGCAGTGTTGCTTTGCGATCGTGATTTGGCTTTTAGTGCTCTGTTAATTTGAGCATTGTATATCGTTGCCTGGCAACCCGGCTTCGCGTTCGCAGCGCTGTCACTCGGCGGCGAGGGTTGGCCGACGCTGGGCCCGGAAGTGACGTCGCTCCCAGCGGTCATTGCTCCCCCGGCAGAAGTGACGACACACCCGGATGTATTTGCGGCGGGAACGGCTGCCATCTTTGTGTTGGAGCCGGCGGAATGGCGCGGCCGCTGCGCCGCCTCTCTCCCTCCTGTCTCCGCCTGTGAGCGACGCATGTCGTCCAGGATGGAGACGGTGGCGTGGAGCAGCTCGGTGAGGCGAAGCAGCGTTTCCTCCATTGCTGCTCCTGACGCTGGAGGAGGATCGGCAGGTGTGATGGACGACTGCTCAGCCGGCGGTGCGGCGTCGTTGTCGGCCCGAGTTGGCTGCCCCGTCGCCGCTTGCTCCTCAACATCGCCGTCAGGACTGAAGGTACGTGGCTTACTTCTTGTCTCCATTTCCACTTCTGACGCCAAATGTATCGGGTTCCGGAGACACTTGTAGATGTAACTTCTTTATTACGATTCAACACTCCAACTCTCCAACAGTCCAACACTCCAACTCTCCAACAGTCCTGATACTCTGTTACAGCCTAGGTACACAGCCTAGGTACACAGCCTAGATACACTACTCTGGCTACGCTCTGGAACTCGCCCTCACAAGGTCGTAGAGTCGGGAGTTCCAGAGTCCCACCACTGGCTCTCACAGCGTCCCAGGGTCCTCCGATGGCTGGTCTTGGGTCTTGGGTCTTGAGCTACGACTGGCCCTGATCGTCCAGGGAGCTCCGCTTTTATGCCCAGTCCCCAACGAGGGGTGGGGCCGTGTGCACCCCCAGATATCCCACAGAGCACACACAGCCCCCCCCCCCCTTTGGCGGCGCCAAAGGGATTAAGCGCCTGGGAACTCAACGCCTGACGCCAAGAGGCTTAAGCGTTTGACCCGCCTGGGAACTCACGCCTGGTGCCAAGAGGCTTAAGCGTCTGGACCCGCCTGGGGTCCCAGAGCCCCCAGCAGCTCCTCCCTTCTTATGTCACTACATACGTGTACATTATTTTCACAGCTTATTTGGTGATGTTCTTCGAACATTTTCTAGTGAATTTTCATTGCATGTTAAAATGAATGACATCAGAAAACCTATCCTTCCCTCCCCTCATTTTTTCTGATATAAAAAACTAAAATAGCTTGGTCATCGGAACTTTGCTTCATTCATCATCTAGGTTGTTTTATGTCAGTTTGTTTGGCTTTCATTTTTGATTGGATTATTTTTGTTGTAAGACACTACATATATTTACACCTTTACTTACGTAACATAATACCACACCCCTTCAGTGAGCATCAATTGTGAAAATAATACACCTTCAAAGATATATAATCCAAGTGTTTTTCCACAATTCACCCCATTGTGTACTGTGTTCACAGACAACAATAATATCCACCCTCAAACTCTGTGGGATATCCCCTCCAGCAGTCATATAACACAGGGCACCTTATGTAGCCCAACACATCAAAAAGGATGGAACACCATCCATCAACAGCATTGCGGAATGCTAACCAACCCCTAGCAGAAACCAGGGCCTTAAAGAAGCGACAGTGCCTGGATAAGCTCCTGCGGAGGGCTTCTTAGCGCTTCATGCCTTACCCCTTACCCCCACTGATGTACTCCCTCCCCCCCATGTGCGCATATACTACTGACACTATTGTATGTAGGGTGTGTAGACATATATGCCTACTAAATACATTTCTTTTTTGGGGGACGACAATTTTTGGAAACCTGTTGCATCAACTTTTTACCCCCACATCTGGGGGACGGGTGGGAGGGTCAACTTTTTCTAATTTTTTATTCAGGACTTCTGAGAGGCTCTTATAATTTATTTGACAGAAAAACGGAATGCCGGGCTGTTATAATAGATGATAAATATCGCCCAGATTAAACATTTGGTTCCTTCTGCTGATCTCATCTAGGTTCATGCCTTTGTGATGACTTGCCTTGACTACTGCAACTCCCAATACCTAGGGCTACTGGAGTCTGATGTCCATTACCTGCAGCTGGTGCAGGATGCAGCTGCCAGGTTATATATATACAGTAATACCTCGATGTGGAGGGCCCCTTCTTATATTAGTGAAAACAATCTTCAGCAATAATGCAGAATAGTACAGTTTTAAAGATTGTGGATGTCTTGTAAATGCAACTG